GGTGGGAGCCACATATTTGACCCCTAAAGTCTGGGAGTGTTGTCTGCTGCTGTTTTCCTTCATGGGGACGGTGGTTACAGGCCCTGGGAAGAGGGTGACGGATGCAGGGGGCATGTTCTGTCGATCTTGAGAGGCATTCTCTCAAAATAGCCGGGGCCTGGCCCGGCTGCTCTGGCCCTGAGATCCCCTATTTATCTCGCTGTCTAAATATTTAGGGAGCAGAAAAATATCTAGCAGCTTCTGTGGACTCTGGCCTGCTGGGTTAGACTGCTCTCCACTTCCACCAAGGGGCCCCTGGATGTCCACCCCAGGTCCCCAGGGGACACACAGCCATGCCCTCTCCCAAGCTATTCCAGAAATGTCCCTAACCCTCCCCCATTTCCCATCCCCTATCTGACTTGTGGGGGTCCTGAATCCCAAAAGGAAGTGGGAAGAAGGGAAGGCCACTGCACTGTAGGTGACATTACTGGACATGTGTCTGGCACAGAAATAGCCTGAGAAACACCACAACTTGGGAGAATTGTGCTATGTGAATTTGGGGGGGAGGGTACAGGGGACAAGCCAGAGATGATGCTGGTGAATGTCCCCAAGCCTGTTTCCCTGTCCTGGAACAAACAACCTTCTCCTCTTAGAACTGGACCTCAATTCACCATCTTTGGAACCTCCACAAAGACTTCACTCATTCATTCAACAAACTCCTATGGGACCCTGAAGTCAGCAAGCCTTGACTCTCCCGGACCTCCAAGCAAGGACGCCAGGGTGCTTGGGGATGAGTTGACTGCCATGAAGGGAAGTGAGTCAGCTGGAGGGTTGGGCTAGGGGAGGGAGGGCAAACAGAAATGCTCCTCGTTGCTGCCCTGGTTCCCATTTCTCAGCTACTCTGGTCATTCACCCTCCGGTTCCATCTGCTTGGCAGGGTATTAATGGAGCCATTCCAGAGAGGGTGGGACCAAGGCGCACCGAGGCCAATTCCCTAGCCTCGGTCGCACAGCGATATTTATGTGGAGTAGTCTGTGTCTGTCGCTCTCTCATGGCCTCTCTGAACCGCAGTTTCCATCCCACTATTAACTGACAGGGGTTCTGTGAGGATGAATGACCTCCCCACCCCACCCCCACCCCCAGCCAAAAAAGAGCAACTTTGCAGGGGACCTGGAAGGAAGTTGCTCTCAATACTGCTATATGGGCAAGCACAATTAGAAAACAAAGCATTTGTTTTCACTTTTTTTTCCCCTCTAGTAAATATATTTCAGATTACATTCAGGAAGAGCAAGGAGTGTCAGGAGAGGTGAAAATAC